AAGCCCATTGTGAACTCATAGGAGCAGCACTTGCGACATGCCACCGAGTGCCTCAGATTGAGCTGCTTCATGAATTTCAGCTCACATGTATTTGTATGAGATGTATGAGTCAAACATGAACCCACTGAACCCCAGCACAGAATAGCCAGGGTTGCACCAGCTTCCTTCCGTATTGATGAACTTGTTTTTTTCAGCTCAGACTGAACCGATTGCCAGCAGCGACTCTTATTCTTTATTCCAGTGTGTGCCACCTTCCCAGTCTCCAACTTGGGTCGGAAATCTGGAGATGACTGAAAAAACATGAGAAAGACTGGAAAGAATGGCACCAAAAATCCCATGGCCTCGACATGACAAGGGTCTTGTCTTTCAACACTTCTCCTTCTGAGAAGGATGAAGTTTGTGTGGATTTGGGGTATGCGAGAGGTCTTCACTTCTGTCTTATATTTTATACTAAGCTGCATTCGTTTGTTTAGCTAGTGCCGCGGAATTTGATTCTTCAACACTTCTTTTCACAGGGATGACAACGATCGGTGTTTCTCCTGGTTGGTTGAGCGCGAGATGATGGCGAGATACCACAGTTGCTGAGTCAGTTGTGTGAGCAAGATACCAAAAGCGCTGGCAATTTCTCCAACTTGTTCTCACAAGCTGGGAGCCAAAAACATGCATGGAATTCGTTGGCATTTCAGTCGCGAGCTGGAGAAAGGTGTGGTCCAGCAGCACAAGAACTTGCTTTTCTTGTGGACATTAACAGCCCATCCATGCTTTGATTGTTGAAAAAGCTGAACCCTGGAGCTAGAGTGTGTTGGGCTCCGCCACTAGCATTTCTCAAAGATGCACGACGCAGTTGGAAGTAGCTAAAACCCAAAAGCCCGGCGGAAACGACGCGTTGGGTGATGAAACGACCGGCACCTGATCCTCTGACCGGACCGGTGTACGGAGACGCGATGCGGTGCGGAGTCTCGGAGGTCACCAGGAGCTCCAAGGAGCTTGAAGCTTTGCAAGAGAAGATGCAAGGTGAGGAGAAGAAGGCCGGTTCCGGCCAAGAGGCTTTGGGTCTTTTGCACCATCGGGACTAGACATGACTAGACATGACTAGACATGATGAATGATGGGTAAACTGGAAGTCTTCAAAAGAAACGATAGTGGCTGTGAGAGAAAGAGAGAAAGAGGGGAGAGAGAGAGAGAGACATCATTTTGACCCTTGGTAGCTCAGAGCAACTACAACCTGCTGTAGATTAGCCAGCATTTTCGCAATGTTAGAGCATCGAACCACTCCTATGACTGAAAGCATCGCACAGTATCTGCCTTTAGGCACCAAAACAGGTATTGACTCCCATTCTATGAACCAAATCCGCCCATCTTTGACCCTCCAAAGAAACCGCTTTTGTCCACAAAACAATGCTCAGCCAGGCATCGGCCAGTGAGGAAGCCTTGATGGCTCTGAATCGACTCACGGAGATGGCTAAGGCGGGCGCCTGCGCCGCATCGGCGAGGAGAACAAATAGACGTTGGGTGTTTGAGAGGTACAAAGACAACCTACCAGTACATTGATTTCGGGCAAAGACAACAGACGTTTTTTTCGCATCATAGAGAGACACCGTTAAAAGTTAAAGTAGCAGTTGGTTGGGGTGCGGCCCGTATCTCCTTTGAGACAGACGTTCACACCCATCACTATTCACTCACATCCGACTCGAAATGGACCAAAACACGGTGTCCAACTCGGTTGGTCCGACCGTCCGACCATGACTTGGCACCGTCACATGACTTGGCTCCACTCGAAATGGGACACGCCGCCTTGCCGCTAGCTGTTTGATGTACTTTTTGCAGTCAGGTAGGTGACTCGAACTTGCTTCAGGTAGGTGCTACTGTAGTCTTTTGCGGCTTGGTCGAGGTTGATTTCAGTTTGGAGTGGTGAGCATTTTTGAGATCACCAGACACTACTCCAAATGTGCATCCGCATGCGTTCATGGCTCATCCGGGTGTATAGCTCACTTGGATCCGAAGCTTGCGGACGAGAAACGCTTTCCACCTGGGCGATCAAGTCTGTCCTTCTCAACTAATATTGACAATCCAATAACAAATGCAGAAGTTTATCAATCATATTATCATATTCTTTGACCACTCAGTAGACAGGTCGAATGTTTCGAGTGGCAAAGTGGCAACTAGAAGCCCCAATCACTTGCCACTCTCTCTTTGCAGGCTGCAGTGGCAAAGGCAGCAGAAGAGAAGGCTGCTGCAGAGAGGGCCGCTGCAGAGAAGGCTGCAGCTGAGCAAGCAGCGGCGGAGAAGGCTGCAGCTGACAAAGCAGCTGCAGAGAAGGTTGCAGCTGAGAAAGCAGCTGCAGAGAAGGTTGCAGCTGAGAAAGCAGCTGCAGAGAAGGCAGCTGTGGAGCAGGCTGTTCCGTTGAATGTCCTGGAAGAACTAGGACATATTCACGAAAGCTAGCACCAGCTAGCTGGAGTTGTCCTTGCTTTA